TAAGCGGCGGGCTTATTAACCGTGGGCTTAATAACCGGCGACTACTGTACCACTCTGGCTTTCCTATGACTTCTCTCTTCCTAAAGAACCCGGTCTGAAGATCGCAGTGACGAGGCTTAACCTTATTAACCTTAATTCCTCGATAAGTCTGTCCAGTGTGCAAAGAAAAATCGGGTGCAAACTCCACTTTTAATGTGGATAAAGGTCGGTTAGTTGTAAAAATTCCTCTGCATCCACACCCTTCTCTCCCTAAAAGGGCTACTCTGAAGCTTCACCTCTTGGTTGCCGCTTATTATCTTCACTGCCTATTCCAACACTCTAATTGAATGAGAATACAAAACTTAATCAATTTCCTTTCACATTCAATCACAAACGGACGCACATTGATAGACTAGCTTTCATAAACAAACAAACTCGGCGACTTTAAACTGTAAAATTTCAGCTTGTTTATCGGCTGCTTGTTTGTGACCTTTGTCCCCAATATGTGGCGCGTTCGTTTTTGTGGTGACAAAACTGCATATGAATTAAAGATCACTCTGTGCTGTAGAGCAGAGACCACATAGCTTCCAGGAGATTGTGTAAAGGATATTGACCAGATCGGATGCTTTATAAAAAGCATTAATAAACTCAAACATTTTATGCTATATGAACGGTCATTTAAAAGTTTTATCCCTTAATTGTACATTTACTAAAACCAAAAACTACAATTTTTTTCCTAGTGTACATTTTGCAGAAGAACGCAGTTCGCTGTAAAATGAACATAAGTATGACATTTTTATGCATGCCTCCTACAAAATTCCTTCGCAGTAATTTGGGAACCAAAAATACGTCGGGGAAAGAAATGCTGCATATATAGCTGTTTTAGCGAGTGTAACATTTGCCTCGAACAGAAAAATGTGAAATGTTTTTGCATTATGATTTATGATGGTCAGTGTTACAAACCCACTAACGCAATCCTTTTTAAGCGAAACCGCGTTTGCGAATTCCGATTTATGTTTCTGGAGATGCTTCACCTACATTGCGTGACTTTATGATCACTGTCGTGCAAATATGAAAATTGTCCGAAGTAAGAACTGTCTGACACAAATTATTTAGGTGACTGTAAAATTTACGACTACTCGCAGTCAAGTTCAAGACATGCCAGTAGTTCTAGCTGAATAACCAAACAACCGTACCTATCAGCATTGCTTTTCCCGCCTATGTCAATGGATTTCCTTCCTTTACTTTCTATGTTCTTTAAAATATCCCCTTCTCCACTCACTGTCACAGTTTCCTTTTGACAATTTATTCCCATTCTTACTCCCAGATGGCTGTATGGCAGTTTTTGTTGTCAAAAACTACGTCCTATGCAACGGTTGGCGATAGTGAGATAAGGGTTAGTCATTTATCCTTGGCTAGACAGTTTATTTTGTGTCTGATAAGTGAGTATTCAGAATAGCAGTTAATATTAAATTGTTTAAAAAAAAGTAACGCTCAAATGTAGCTACTTAAAAGTGGTTTCTTGTAAAATATAACCCTTCATATCAAAGGAAGCCAATGGTCGTCACCCACCCCCTCGTCCACAGGCAGGAAATGCTAAAATAAACCACTCGTAAT